CCAGGTTGTACGACACACATTTGTCTTCAAGATAACATTTGTGCTGACAATCCTCTAATCCGGGTGCTAAGATTCTGAAAGACCTGATGAGGTGACCAGTGAAGATCTTGTTTTTCCTACAGTCAAGATAGTCAAGCACCTTACAACCACCATCACCTGTTTGTAAGGTAAACGTTTATAGTAACAAATTATTACGAAAGTAATATCATGAGACTGATATAACCGAGTTCTTTGCCTTGGTATTTTTATTGCAAACTTAGTAAGTAATGTTTACAACATGAGCGGCTGTGATGTATCGGCTATACAACAAAACAATCACGAGCCAAAAGAACTGGTGAAATTAACTAATAATTCATAATTCTTTATGGACATCATGAATTCATATGCTGATAATGCTAAATATCAAAACAGTATACATTCACTTGTGGTTGTATGTAATTAGCATTTTCATTGTAAGGTTTGTATCTGGTTTACATGATATTTATGTGACCCGATTTCAAAAGCTGGATTGCTTGAACCCTTATCAATTATTCATGAATTTTACAATACATCCATMCCCCCCTCCCCCATCATATTCAGTTTTGAAATGGGATCCGCTAAAAAAAAAGAAACAAGAACTTCGGCTTAAAGAGAGTGAGCCCCATATGGCAGCTTTTTTCATTGCCATGAGAACTCTGACTGAAACACACTGACGTGAATACAATACAGTCTTTGAAGGCAAATCTCCTTTGACATTTATAGTGTCGTGAATTTGTCAGAATACTCACGAATTGAAAAAGCACTGCAAAAATGTTAGGGTCAAGGCTGGGATAACGGTAGACTCTCGCCTCTCACGTCTGGGGTCTCGGGTTTGATTAGAACCGGACCTAGTATCATATGAGCAGAATTTGTTTGGTCTCTCTGAATCGTTTGAATTTTATAGGCCACAATTTTATCTGTAACTTAAAGTGTTCAATCTTTCTAAAGAAATCCATTATCTTTTGTAAACATTAAATTACATTTAAAAGCCTTACAGGAGTACTTACCTTTAGCTAATTTAATCAGTGTTAGACCAGTAAATAAGACCAATATCCACTCCATTTTGAAACCCTAAGCAAAACTCAAATACTTTGCCTTTCTTCACGATTACTTCAAATGTGATACAAACTTGAGAATATACACAGCTAAAAAGGAGATACTTTTGAAAATATTTAAAAATTGATGCTTGTTATTCTTCTTCTTTTGTTTTCAACTTCTTCAAGTGTTCTTCTAGAACTGTTACAACTATGACAACTCTGTTTTGCTGTGTTTCTAGATGAAAATCTAGCAAAACAATAAATGTACAAAGTGCACGACTGAACAAATCTGCATTGTTAATAAGTAAATCCAAAAACGACGTTTTTGAAGGGGAAAGGAAAGGAAAGGAAA